CAGACTTCAAAGCAGAAAAAGAGACAAAAGAAGCATCAATTTCTAGTGGGGATATGTCTTCAGTAAAACAACGTCTAGAAAAAAAAATGCCCAGAAGCAAGAACAAGGAAACAGAATGCCTAGGACCAAACAAAAGTTACCGCTGAAAAACTTTTCCCATGGGGAAATATTACTATTATATTAAAAAATAACAAATTGGTGGATCAGAGCAGCCTACAAGGAGGTACTTAAGGGAATACAGAAATAGAGCCCCCACCCTCAGTCTTTGAGAGGGAATGATTCCAGAGAGAATAATGTAAGAAAGGGGGAGGTGCCCTTTGCAAACATCACAGTGAAGAGCACTGTGGTGAGAAAACGTACAACCCTAGCAGAGAGAAGAAAAAACATTGAGGAACAAACTACTAATTGCCCTCCAAGTAAAGCCATGGCAATTAATTAACAACACTTGATACACTGAAGCAAGAGGACATGCCTGAACTAGGAATGTCATAACAAATCTCAAACCACCAGCCCTATCCACAAATTCAGAGGTGCAAGCAGTAATAAAAAGAAAAAAATGATTATCAAAGCATATGGTTGATAACTTCCCTGTGAAGAGGAAGAAGGATGAGGAGGAGGGGGAAGATGAGGGAAGAAAAAGAAAAGCAAAAGAAAACTGTACAGAAATATAAATGTATGTATAAATGTATGTAAATGTAAAATACTATACATTGAAATAAATAATATTATCAAACAAAAATTTTGGGGTATTAAAAAAACCATGAATCAGAAATTCAAAATGAAAAAGTAGATGGAAATGTATAAGAAATAGGAAAAAATAAAGTTTGTGTTGAAAAACTTAGAAAAGAAATAGAAGAAAAGTATAAAATCACATCCGTGTGGAGTCTAGGTTCTGAGATCACTAAAGAAGAATGGACTCAAACCAAAATGTAATAAATGGTGTTGAATAAATGCAGAAAAACAATAAAACAATGAATATATGAATAATAAAGAAATAAAAATAAATAGAAAGTTGGAAAATGAAAGAGAAGAAAAAATCCAACTTACATGTTAGTGGAGTTTGTAACAAAAAAAAATTGATCAGAATAGTATTCAAAATTATAATCTCAGAAGAGTTTCTAAAATTAAAAGAAGGCTTGAATGGACATATTTATCACCAGGGACAATTGACCCACAACAATAAACTTCAAGACATAAGTTAAAAATTCTGAAGATGGTGATAGTTGCACAAAAATGAGAAGGTAATTAATGTCACTAAAAATGTACACTTAAAAATGACTAAAATGGTAACTTTTATGTTATGTATATTTCACCATAATAAATAAAATAGCCTTCAAAGATAAAGAAAAAAAATTCAGGGCATCCAGGAAAAGGTCAAATAACTTAAAACCACAAAAGAATTAGATCCTCAAAAGGCTTCTCAAAAGCAATCTATACAAAGCAAGGCAATAAATGTGTAACATTTTAAAAAATCTCAAGGGAAGGAAGCATGAACACTTTAACATAGAGATTTTATACCTAACCATTTTGTACTTCAAATATCCCAGTTATAGAATTAAAAAAACAGTTAACAAAGCAAAAACCTGGGAAATACAGGACTCACAAACCCCTCTTGATAATCAACTGAGGATTCAACAGAGATAACTGAGGAAACTTTGGCAAAGAACTTGTATTGAGAATTTAATATATTTATTTATTTATTTTCAGAGACAAAGTCTCACTCTGTCACCCAGGCTGTAGTGCAGTGTGATGTGCTCACAGCTCACTACAGCCTTGAACTCCTGGACAAAGTGATTCTTCTGCCTCAGCCTGTTGAGTAGCCTGGACTACATGCATGCACCACCACGCCCAGATACTATTTTTTATTATTTTTTGTAGAGCTGAAGTCTGGTCTTGAACTCCTGGCCTAAAGCAATCCTCCCTCTTGGCCTCCCAAAGTGCTAGGATTACAGGTGTCAGCCATCACAACCAGCCTAATATTTAATATATATAATTTTTGATCAAAGCATACACTGACATAAAGAGTAAAAGAATAATATTTAAACTTTATAAGACATGAGAAAGTAAAAATAATTCAAATAAAAATAAAGGCAGAAGAAAGGTAGAAGATTTTATTTGATCATTGAATAAGAGGTGATAGTGTTTATTACTGAAAACTTAAAAATCAGAAAGTAAAAGTTTAAGAAAATGAGGGACTAAGGACATTTTTACAAGAAAATATACAATTAGCTGTTGGGTAACCACTAAAATAACAATCAAAACCTTTCTGGATATCAAAAAATTTATAAAATATTGGGGGAGAAAGCACAATATATAGATGCAGATGCACAGCAAATATAACAGAATATAATTTTCAGAGCTAACACTACACATAGTAAGTCAATAAATGTGAACAAACTTAACATCTCAATTAAAATAAAATAATTATTAATTGGACTCACAAAGAAAGAATCGCTATGTTCAAGAGAAACATCTAAAACCAAATAATTAAGAAAGTCTTTCTTACCATTTCTAACCCTAGGAAAAGTTAGAGATATGACAAGGCTTCTGAGAAATAGTTCTTGTTGTACATTGTGGATGGGAATGCAAATCGGTAAAATCCAGATGAAGTGTGTGGTAGGGAGAATAATGGCCCTGCTAAAATGTCCATACACTAATGCTCGTAATCTCTAAGTTTATTAGTTTACATGGCCAGAGAGATTTTGCAGATTGGATTTTAAATGGGAAAATTTTCCTAGTTATCCAGGAAGGCCCAAAGTTATCACAAGTCCCTCAAAACAGAGAACCCTCCCTGCTACAGAGAACCAGAGAGACAGCAGCATGAGTAGGGCTCCATATGCCATTGCTGGCGTGGAAGATGGAGGGAGGGTGCCATGGGACATGAAATGTGGGCACTCCCAAAGCTGGAAAAGACAAGGAAACACACAACAGAAAGAGATGCATTGCTACCAGGTCTGTGTTGGGCATCTGACCTATAGACCTGTGGGATAGTAAATACGTGCTGTTTAAATCACTAGGTTATAGTGATATATTGCAATAGAAAACCAATACATGAGAGAAATTGGCAATAATCACTGATGCATAATCTTGTGCGTCAGCAATGCTTCTTCATGAATTTCCCCTGAAGATATACCTTTAGCAATATCATATACCTTTGACATATGTCCAGTGTTATTCATTATACCATCGCTTATAATCACAAAGCATGAAGAAACCCAGGTGTCCATATATAAGAGAGTGGGTGAACCCACCCAGGTATAGTCACAATATAGAGCATTATCCAACTTTAAACATTTAAAAATTTAAATGAATAAAGAATATATCTTGAAACTGATATGAAATGATTTCCAGGAAACATTTTTAAGGGAAAAAAGCAAAGAACAATAGTATGCTACCTTTTGTGTAAGAAATATAAAGAAGAAAACATATATTTATTATATCATTTGTGTATGAGGGGACGGAAGGATGAATGGCAAACCAGTCAGATGGGTCACCTATAGATGAAGACTATGGGGAAAGTGAAAAAACAGGAGGATAATAATGGGATGGAAGGAAGAGATTCTGAGCTCTGATACAATGGATTTTTCCTTTTGCCTTTTCTTAAAATATATTTTTATAATGGTACAATGGATACCCCTTTCTGCATGGTTTATTTAGTTTAATACAATGTCCATGAGTCTTCTCTACATTGCTGAAGGTAGCAATATTTTGCTCCTTATCATTGTTGTGTGGGACTATGTCCTAGGGTATTTATCCATTCTGCAATATTTATTCTGGAAATTTAGCTTTTCTCACTTTGGGGCTACTGTGAGTAAAACTGCTATCTGAATGTCCTTAAATATTTTTCTTGGTGAGCATATGCATTAATTTCTGTTGAATGCATTCCCAAGAGTGGAGCTGCTGTGTGATAGAAAATATGTACGTTCAGCTTTAATAAATATGGCCAGTTTCCTAAAGGGCTTGTGCTAATTCATAATCTCAATGGTAATGTGCAAAAGTTTCTGTTGCTCTACATTCCTACCTACTAATATTAACAAAATATTAGTAGCTCTTTCGATTTTTGCCTTTCTGATGTGTGTATAGTCCTATTTGTCACTCAAATTTTAATGTATATGTCTCTGATGACAAATGGTATTGAACACCTTTAAATATGCTAACTGAGCATTTGGATATCTTTTATGAAATGACTTCTCGATCATTTTGCAAATGTAAAAAATTGTGTTATTAGATTTTTTCTTATTGAATTTTTAGGCTCTCTATATAAGTAATACATGCCAGATCCATCTAACTGTGTCAAATATCTTTTCCCTGTCTATGAAAGACTTTTATCTTATCATTTTGCTTTGAAATTATCAAGATGATTTCCAAGGAATAGTGTATTTAAAAATTAAACTGGTTTGATTATCACTACAGAAGCATCTTTAACTTTTATATCTAGAATTCCCATGTTTGCCTGGAGAAGAAAATCTAGATATTGATAATGTTAAGGATGATGAGGAAGAGAAAAGATGAAGGAGAAGGGGATAAAGAAAAGAAGCTGACGAAGAGGAAAAGGAGGAGGAGGAGGAGGAGAGATAATTATGACAAAAATATTGATAAATTTCTTAGATATAAGAAGAAAATGTTGCCGTATTTGGTGATTATTAATGCATCACAGCACATGTATTCTGATACAAAGGATCCACGCTCAAAACACATTTACTACATCAGAAAAAGTTTATTGTTAGCTATCAAGTATTGAAAGAGAAGCTTAGCTAAACTGTCATGACTCTCCATCCCACAGAGAGGCAGATCCCCGAAAAACGAGCTAACCAAATGCCCACATTGGTCCATCAGGTTTTCGTCACATAATTGTTAGAAACGAGGTGATCCAAGTAGCAGTTCCATTATCAAGACAGGATGAAAAAAAAAAGCAGGAAAATCGTGGAATAAAGTTTTCTAGAAGAATCAGGGTGTCGTGGCAGTCTAAATCCACACATTGTCAAATGTCAAGTATTTATTCAATAGAAGCCAGAAGACCAGTATCTTCCGTAGCAGGATGGGCGGCAGCAGCCGTAACCGTAGCCTCCGTACCCAGACCCGAACCCGTAGCCTCCATAGCCACAGCCGTAGCCCAGCCTGGGGAAGCCACAGCCGTAGCCGTAGCCCAGGCCTCCGAAGCCTCCACAGCCGTAGCCCAGGCCTCCGTAGTAGCTGCCGTAGTAGCTCATGGTGTCAGGAGTGGTGAGTTTGGTCGGTTCTATGAGCATGACTGCACAGGGGCATTTATATACACCCTGACGGATAGGGAAAAGCCACACCTCTAAATGTCATCCATTAGAACATATTACTTGGAAACTATGCCAACTATTTCATTTCATAACACCCAGCCAAGTCTCCCACTAGTACATGAAACTAGTTATTTAAAAATTATGCCACATGTTTTATTTTCCACTCCATTTAGATTCCTACAAAAAATGTTTTGCCTCTAATAAAATGTTCTTGTGGTTATAATCCCCATGCATGCATGAGTTTCAAACTCCATAAACAAATCTCTATAGCTTCAAGTATTCTTCATAATGCAGCACACGACATTGCATTTGCCCTCTAATTACACCCTTTCCTTTGACATTCCACAACTGCTGGATCTTTTCTAGGCCACGGGTGTTGTCTTAATTCTGCCGAGAATTCACATAAATTGAACCATAATTGTTCCCTGAAATGCTAGCCTATAAAAAAATGGCAATCAACTATGATATATGTCTTAATACAGTGTGCTTTTAAAGTCAGCTGAGAACTTCATTGGTAGTGCAATGATGATATTTAATTTTTTAAAGAGCCACAAATCGATGTCAAAGGAATTTCTCAAGCATCATGCATCATATAATGTCAGCCTGCTTGGTATGTACCATTGAAGATTGCATAGAGAAAGCCTCTGCTAATCTCTTATGAATAGATCCTTGATCATAAAGTTATTTTTATTCCACAGTCTAAAGTCTTTCCTATCATAGGACCATATAATTACAGAATTAAAGAGACTCAAGGCGTAATTCATTTCAATGTCCTCCCCTTTTGCCAATGATAAAACTGTGATTCAGAGAGACAGGCAGAACTATGCAACGATAATCTTTAGTGGCAGGTAGAGCTAAAACTTAAGTACTTCATTCTTGGTCTTCCTTAGTTCAGTAGGTAAATTTGAAATTAAAAAACAATGATTGCAAGTTAGGGAGCTTCTTCTCTCACAATGTCCAGCTGCCTTATATTTCTGTTTATTCCATGGTTTATTCATACCATCATTATAAATAAATGTAAATGACATGAAATCAGTTAACAGTTCTGCTCAGCTACTTCAGCTTTTAAAACGTCAAAATAATTGAATATTATAAAGAGCACAGATGAGTTGTGAACTTTGTTTATACTTACTAACTTGTTTCCCTTACCAGTTTATTGAGTGCAATAATGTAATTAGGTACTTACACATTTCCATATTGCTGGTGCTTGGCAATCTGCAAATTAAAGGTAATTATTAATGAGAAATGACTCCTATTTAAAACTGCTTCAGTTATAAGTATTTAGGTTCATAAAAATTCAAGGTAAATTAAAAAGAAAAATATTATTATTTTTAGCACTTGCCATGATCATGTCACTTGTCATAATCTAGAAAAAGCCAGATATTTTTTGCCCAATAGGAAAGATATTATTGATTATTTTGAATAATAGGGAATGCCACAAAATCCAACTTAGAAATTTTCTCCTTTGCATCTCTGCTTTATTTGACTTCTAAGAGCAAAGCCAACATGTAACTCTAAACCTTGCTACATGAAACATCAAGTCATCTGCTCCAGATAGCCTCCCACCAGCGCTGAAAATATTAGGCTCTCTCCTAAGTATTCTAGAACTCATGCTGGTTTCTGTAGAAAAAATACTCTTTACAGTCCTTTATCTTTCTGAGTTACTAATGCATTCATATTTCAAGATTTTACCAAACACCAGTATTAGAAACTCCTCTTACTCTTGTAACGATTCTTTATTTTTTTTCTTTAGTCAGTATATATTTTACAAAATGTATTCACATAAAAGTCACCCTTATTCTGTGGTTGTGAAACAATTGTGGAAAAAAATCAAACAACCAAACAGAAACTTCAAGAGGTAAGGGGAAAGATCCAATTGCCTCAGAATGTCTTTCAACTCAAGTGACTGTGGACAACAGCCAGTTTGATAAGGTGGTAATACATAAGCTTTACTTGCCTCATTACTATGCTCCCAAGAACTGCAAAATTAATGCAAGAACAAAGAATTTAAAACTTAGCACAGAGCAGTTTCATTGGCAATTCAGAAAAAGAAATTTGGGGAATAATTCTCTATGGAGACCATGCATGTAAATGATACATAGATTGCCAAAGAGCTGGATAGGACAATTATTGACTTCACCTGTAAAATTTCTACCGTTTATTTTTAAAGTAACAAAGATAGCATATATTTACTGAGTGATTAATACAGGCCAGGCACTATCTCAGGCCCTTTATAAGTATTAAACTCAAACTCACAGCAATCCTTTGTTTATTGAATAGGGTGTCCTTTCCCCAGCATATGATTTGTTTGCTTTGTTGAAGATCAGTTGGTTGTAGGTATTGGCTTTATTTCTAGATTGTCTATTCTGTTCCATTGATCTATGTGTCTATTTTACACCAGTAACATGCTGTTTTGGTACTTGATCAACCTGTAGTATAATTTAAAGTCAGGCAATATAAATGCCCAGCTTTTTTTCCCTTTAAGATCGCTTTGGCTATTTGGGCTCTTTTTGGTTCCATATAGACATTAAGATTGTTTTTTCTAAGTCAGCAAAAATGATGTTGGTATTTTGATAAGGATGGCATTAAACCTATAGATTGCTTTGAGCTATGTGGTCATTTTAGAGATATTAATTCTTCTGATCCATGAGCATGGGCTGCTTTTCCATTTGTTTGTGTCATCTATAATTTCTTTCACTAGTGTTTTGGAGTTTTCTTTATAGAGATCTTTTACCTCCTTGAGTAAATGTATTCCTAAATATATATTTTTGTAGCTATTGTAAATGAGATTGCCTTTTCAATTTGGTTCTCGGCTAGATCATTATTGTATAGAAATTCTATTGATATCTGTACATTGATTTTGTATCCTGAAACTTTATTAAATTCATTTATCTAATCTAGAAATATTTTGGAAAAATTTTTAGGGTTTTCTAGATAAAAGATCATAATCATCAGCACACAAGGATAATTAACAGAAGACATACAAATGGCCAATGAGTATATGACAAAATGTTCAACATCACTAATCATCAGAAAAATGCAAATGAAAACCACAGTGAGACATCATATCAATCAGAATGGCTATTATTAAAAAGACAAAAAATCCCACATAGTGAGGATGTGAAGAATAGGGAACTCCTATACACTGTTGGTGGAAATGTACATTAGTGCAACCTTTACAGAAAGCAGTATGAAGATTTTTCAAAATCTAAAAATAGAACTACCATAAGATTCAGCAATTCCACTATTGGATATCTATCTACCCAAAAGAAAAGAAATCAATATATAAAACATGCTTGCATTCATATGTTTATTTCAGCACTATTAGCAATTGCAAAGATATGGAATCAACCTCAGTCTCCATCCACAAAAGACTGCATAAAGAAAACATGGTATATATACATAATGGAATGCTATAGAGCCGTTAAAAATATGAAGTCATGTCTTTTGTAGCATTATGAATGTAACTGAAGGCCATTATTTTAAGTGAAACAACTCAGACACAGAAAGACAAATACCATATGGTCTTACTTGTAAGTGTGAGCTAAATAATACATGGAAGCAGAGTGTGGAATGATGGACAGTAGAGATTTGGAGGGGTGACAGGGGTGGGAGGGTGGTGGATGATGACAGGAAGCTGCTTGGTGGGTATAATGTGCATTGCTTCAGTGACAGATGCACTGAAGGTTCTGACTCCACCACAGTGCAATGTATCAATGTAGCAAAACTGCACTTGTGCCCAGTGTTAATACATACCAATAAAAAATAAATTTTATAAAAACCTAGTTTTCTGGCTCAAGAGCCTGTTTTGTTTGTTTGTTTGTTTTTTGGTGTTTTTTGTTTGTTTGTTTTTTTACATGCTATGCAATACTGTCTCTACTTGCAGGTAAGATTAAAGTACTTTGGCCTCAGAAGGAATATGACCTCAGGAATAATATTAAAATTTTAAACAAGCTAGGTGCAATGGGGCATGCCTGTAGTCCTAGCTATTTGGGTGACAGGAAGGAGAACTGCTTGAAGCCCGGAGTTTGAGCCCAGCCCATGCAACATAGTGAGACCCTCATCTCTTAAAAAAAAAAAAAAGAAAAGAAAAGAAAAGAAAAGAAAAAAGGAAAAAAAAAAACACAAACTATTTAAGAAAAACAAATATAATTACTTTTTTAAAGAAATAAAAAATACATATTTTAACTATTTTATTTTTTCTTCTATGTTAGCAGCCTTAGTAAAACAAATCATGCTGCTGGTAATTTAACCTTTCTTGATTTGTTAGGAACCCCATCATGAGTGTCCATTAATATAGTACTGCCATTTAGAAATGTCTATGAGAGTTATTAGCCTGCTCAAAGCAGCCTGCACATACTTTTTTTTTGTGGTTATTGCCTTCATCCATTTATTAATTCAATACACATTTACTGAATAATTATTATATTTCAGGCACCAATATACTCAATATAAAAAAGCAAAGCTAGCCTGTGAACTTCATGGAGGCTAAATTGTGCCATGCAAGCAATACATAACTATAAATTGTGTATGAAAAAGTGAACTGAAAATAAAATAAATGAACAAGGTCATCCATTTAGAGGTTTGGGCAGTTGTCTTACTCATGGTACCATTTATATATACAGTAGTCATGAAATGTTGACTAGTTGGAAGACTGGGTTGTTCTTTAGCTAAATATCTATAAGGCATTGTTCTCTCTCCTCTCAAGACCATATTGCTTTTCCATTGTCATTTCTTGATACTTTTAAATAATTTTGTTTTATTTAATCAGAAACTTCTTTTGCTGCATCATTCTTCTCTTGAAAACTTGTTTCCTCTTTTACCAATATTCTCTATTTTATTACTTTCCACTCTTTTTTCTTCTATATTGATCTTTCCCCTCAAAATACCAGTGAGGCTTAGATTTGCCAGTCATGGCCAGGCCAAAAGCAGGCATCTCT